CTACTACTGCTACTGCTACTACTACTACTACTACTACTACTACTACTGCTACTGCTACTACTGCTACTACTACTACTACTACTACTACTACTACTACTACTACTACTACTGCTGCTGCTGCTGCTGCTGCTGCTGCTGCCACTACTACTACTACTAATGATGATGATGATGATAATGATGATAATGATGATGACGATGACGATGATGATGAATAGTATTTTTATAGAGCGCAGATACATAAGAATCGATCTTTCCGCACATTACAACAATCACGAGGTAAAAAAAACATACGATACGTACAGTTTGAAGAAAATACTAAAAACCTTTATAGTATGCTAATAAAGGGATATAACTGTAAAAGGCCAATAGAAAATTATCTGTATTATGAAAGGAATCCAATAAATAAGTCATTGATCTTGCTTTTAAAATGTCCAAGGATTCAAAAGTGATCACAAATGCTGCGGATATGTTGTCAGATCTAGAGGTGCCATCTTGTAGTCGTATAATTAATCGATGTTTGTTATCGTCGGTTGTATATTGACTCAGTGCATATTTATATAGCACTTATCAAATTTTCTAATGGTTGATTAGTCGTATTTGGTTTAAGTCGCTATTTGGTATGCATTATCTGAATGCACGCCGGTGATTTTGATTGAAAATTAGTGTTACACTTTGCATGACATAATTTTAATGTACTTGCCATTTTTTAGTTGTTTCCCCAGCCCACCTACCCCCTGAACAATGTGGTTCCTGTGACTCATTGGTCTCGTAGTCCTTAATATGCAAAATTGGGGGGGAGGGGGGGGGGTACTTTGGAAGTCAGAAGTTGAGTAACTCTTAAAAATTTGTGGTTTTGTAACAACTCGAATAAGCCCTTCCCCCGAACTATTATAGCGCCCTGTTTTAGACGTGAAAAATTTAATAAACGCCGGGGCGCTTATTCGAGTAAATACGGTAAGTTCTGAAGATTCTCTGTGAATCATGCATCACATACGAAATGTTGATTTTTTTTCACATTAACAGTTCAAAGATAGAAGAAAAAAATGTCAAGGGATTCGATAATTATATCTTAAAATGAATGAATAAAGAAATAAAATGAAGATGCGAAGTTTTCAAACCGCCTTGCCATGTTTGTTTTCTTGAACAATTTGGCGCATGCGCATACGTTTTAAGCCCTGACGGTGCATCTTCAATTTTAAATGTGTATCGCGTTGTTGTTTTAAACCAAAAATAACAAACTTGTGTGAGAGTGTTCGTTTGTCTTTATGATTTAATTCCTACCACACGACAATTCAATGTCCAAGCCGTAAAACTACTAAGTACACCAAGATTGACCTTAACACCAACAACGTGCAATGTAGTGGCCAATCAGTGAATTCATTGATGTCAATGAACTGATCGATTCTTTGCGATTCTTCAAATATGAGCGTGAATCAAAATAGGTTTAAAACATGTCAAACTGAAGAACAGCAAATAGCACTTAATCATTTTTAATGTCTAATTTTGTAATAAGCATTTATATTTTTACAGTGTCTTTCAATTTATTCAATCATCTACCTGTAATATTTGTGTATATATTTGATTCCATACCACTCTTTTCATCTTTCCAGCTTATCTTACCTTCAGGAAATTTTCTTAATGAAAAATTTGCGGTATTTGTTGTCTTCAAAGAGTTATCGTCTAAATGTTTAGGAGCTTATCATTTAACACAGACCTTATCTTTTTATTGTTCAAACCATGAATGTTATTGTAGTATAGTTTAATCTTTGAACGAACTTATTTCTGATAGCGACTTGATTCTAATGAAAGCTTCCTTCGACGGAATATTTCATATGTGAATATTCATAGCCGAAGAGAAATCCTACGGACGGTAGGGAATTCCAAGCTAGAGACTTTTTTATTCTGCTTTTAGTGTAAATAAACGTAAAAAGATCCGTTATATATGCAAGAGAGGTTGGCGATCGGATCAGATGTGATTACAGGCGGCCAGATTTGAATTGTTCTAACCTGATTGGATGTCCTTAGCCGGTCCGTTTAACAAATGTATAGCATGCATAGATAAACCGTCACGTTTTACAAACGAGACTAAAAAGCCTGTGGCACTCATCGGACCTGATCAAATAGGAATTTAGAATTCTAAGTTGAGTTTTGCGGAGGAAGAAAAAACCTGAGAAGGGCAAGTGAGAGGAAAACCCTCGAAGCACAGGAGAGAAGAAACAAGCAATTCTTCTCACATTTAATGATCATTTGACCGGCATTCGATAGTGTTTAAATCAAAACTGGAATGTTGCCTATCATGTTAGAACATATCGAATGTGACTTATTGAGACGAAACTTATGCGCTTGAGTTGTTTAGTTTAGCTACACAACAGCTTCACTTATCATCATCGGATCATTAGAGTTATTTTTCAGTTCATTTGATGTTTCATTACAATTACAATTGGTTCCGTTATTTAGACTTGTCTCCTTAACAGTCTCATGATTGGTCTTTTGATACATCACGTGATGATGATTGATGCACCCAAAAAGCTTCCAACGTCTTTCCTTGGGGCTAGCATTAGATGATGAGTCTGTTTCGTATGTAGCGGTCTCCTCAATAGCGTGATTCTGAAATAACGCTCTACACCTACAACATACTATTAAAGTAATATATCTAATGTACCCCCGTCTGTAATGTTTGGTAAGGCTACCGTATACTATAGGGTTTAAACATGCATGTGTATAGAGAAGCCACTCGCATATCCTTAAGAAGGCGTTGCCAACTTTGATTTCATTTGGTCCTCCAAAGTCAATCAACATCCAAGCCAACTGGGCAGGTAACATGGTTAACGCAAATAAAGTAACAATTGTTGCTAAAGTCTTAATCACTTGCATATTTTCTTTTCTTCTCGCGGGATCGATAGCTCTTCGAGTATCCCCTTGGGTTTTTCGGCCACGCGGTCTGAAGAGGTCGATAGCAATACGAACGTATTCCACGGCTATGATTGTTAAAGGTAGAGCGTATTGAGACACAAACAGACCAGCAGTGTAGGCTTTCCTGTAATTGTTAGACGGCCAGTTTTCCGCGCAACCATATGGTTCCACTGATTTTGATTTGGTGACAATCATGAGTGGTACAACAACGACAAATCCAAGCACCCAAATAATTAAGATCCAAAGGACCACATATCGATGCTTAATTTCTGGCTTGAATGGATTGAGTATGACTTGACGTCTGTGTATGGCCATGGAAGTCAGAGTGAAAATACTGAGACATATAGACACAGTCATCATAGGCCATACGAATCGGCAATAAAAGTCCGATGGGACATCTCCAACCGTTAAGAAAAATTGCGTAGGTAGACAGAAAAACAAGTATGTCAGATCTGCAATGGCTAAATTCACGATGAATATGTCATTAACCGTACGCCTTTCCCGTCTACCCGCCACTACAATCAACACCAGTACGTTACCGACAGTCCCCAGCACAAAGACCACCGTGTAAAAGCCTTGCTTGACTTTATCTTCTTGTGTAAAAGGGTCAGAACTAAGACTGTCGTTGGCCATCATTTATGGACTAGTTCGTTCAATCTCAAACTGCATGAATTTTCCTTATCACGAAGTATATGTTGTTCGAGATAAAGTTTCTGGAATAGCTTCCTAGGATAACGATCGATTAAGATTCGTCAGACTCGCAGTCCAGGTTGTCGATTTTTGAAAAAAAAAGATGTGTTCTATGATGGATGAGCTCCGAAGAGAGGCACCAAAGGATGGACCGCTTACCAGAGGTGTTTCAGACGGAGGTTGTGTGGTTTGTCTGTATTAAAATAATCCTTTGTGGTTTTGAGATAGGAGCAGATGTGAAACAGTTTCTCTAGCCGTATTCGCCTATCTGTTAGCTCTATCTAGAAGGCATTATATTTGTTTCGTCTTTCAAGAATGACATTATGTTATCAGCAAGAGCGTTAGACAGGAAATTGTCAAGTGGTGTGGAGTGAAAAGATCTTTTCGTCAGGACCAAGTTCACGTGGTGTTCAATAGAAAAACACTCCAGCTCTTGTGCTGTGCTGTCAGGAACCCACTTTTCCGACTTGGCAATCTAGAAGAAAACAACAAATGTAAATAAATATCGTATTTACGATGAAAACAACGAGAAATAAAGATTACATTGGTCGAAAATTTTATCACAACGCGGCTGGAAATACAATTTGTGGAGTTAATATTCGAAAACATTTGGAGGAACGTTTTCTAAGAGGCTTAGAAACAGTAAGCTATTAAGGCGATTTCCGCGTAACGGGAAATTCTATCCCCACTCAGTCGAGCGACAAACCAACAAAAAATATATTCGTAATACTGACAACAGTCTATTGATCTCGCTAAGTTCTTTCCATAATTGCTTCACCTGCTGAACACTATGAATACTAAAATCAATCCTAAAGACCAACAGCTCATTTCTTGGAGTAGAACAACTTTTTGCTCTCAACCAAGTCTTTTAACTTGTTCACGTTTCAAGAGGTATTATTTAGCACTAAAGATTGAGTTGTTTTTCAATTCAAATTCTATTTTGGACTATTTTTTTCTGGTTTCGTGTGTGAGTGTAGTTAAGTAGGTATGGTGTCTATCTAATTGTGGAATAAATGAATAACACACTATGCGGTTAAAAAATGCTAGGGTAATAAAACGCTGTAAGAAGATGCGAAGGTGGAATAGCATATTGACTTAAGAGAACACAGCTAACAGTTAAATCCAAGCGGTTGTCGCAGAATAGAGACAATTAATCAGTTTCTAGAAAAAAATGCATAAGAATTGATTACTGAACCGGCTACATATCAATTCTTGGGTCAAACTAGACGTATAAAACAGGATAGCTTTGAGCACTGTAGTCTTGCATTAGGATCAGTAGCCGGTTCGTCTTGTGATAGAGGATTACCTGGCATTGTAGCACTTATGGTGTTTTTGTCAACATCCTTTCGAATTCACCGGCAAGTATTTGCGACTCACCGAGAAATATATTGATTCCATCTCGGATGTTTTGAGGTCAGTGGAAAAGAGAATTATAGGTTACGAAGAATATAAGCAGTTTACAGCCTGGAAATGCAATTTAAGGCTAGCGTATGATTGACACTTGCTCGTGATAATATGCCAGATGTGTTTGTGATGGAAAACCCAATAAAGAATCTTTTGATGAAAAAGTTTTATTTTTAGTAGAGAATCGTCACGTAACTTCAGTTTTCAATTCAGTATTTTATCAAGACTCGAAGTTAAATCCACTCCATACGTTGAGACTGTTTGGAGTGATTACTGGATGTACAAAATTAACATGAATTGTGCGTTTGAACCTCTTTATAGCATATATGTCAACTCTTGGCTTTTCAAAACCTATTAATTTATTAATGACTGAGAGATGAGCGACGGCTAAGTAAACAACTTTTACAATGAAACGAAAATAGGAGATTTTTTCCGACTGTAATAAAAAACGTAGGAAAACATGAAGTGACGCGAAGCAAACAAATGTGGATGTTCATTAAGACTAACTGATGTTGAATGGAAGAAAGAGGTGTRAACTACGGGAGAACTAGAATACAATGGCTTGCAGTGTTTGGTTTTGAATGGGTAGCGGTAAAATGCTGAAACCGGCTGAAACGGGTGAAATGATGTTTGAAATCATGTAATTTTTGTGCAAGAATCAATTTCAAAATTTCACATATCTTTGAAGAACGTACAATAGCGTTTTATTCAGTTTTCTTTTCGTATCGTTTCGTGTTTCTTTATGTTTTATTATTATTATTATTATTATTATTATTATTATTATTATTATTATATTTGACGCTCATAGCGTTTTGAGTAGCATAAACATGGTAAATATGCTTGCCCGCGCTTCGGCTGGTCACCGTATGTACACTTCCTGCCTGCTAACAACCACCAGGTGCTTGTTGGTGCACGGAACGGAAGAACTGAATACTCCATATTTGAGATATTTGAATGTAGTACGATAGCGATGCTCTTAATGCACGGTAATCCTGATTTTTTAAAATTGAAATATTCAGTAAAAATAAGAAATTCTGTTCTCTTTTGTTTCCCTGTCCTATATACTGAAAATCGACGTTCTGATTGGCTTATGGAATGGGTCATATATCTCTAACCGCGGTCCGATACCCGTTGGGCAATCCGTTAGGCAATCCCCGCAAAACAAGTGAAAAAGTAATTGGGGAAAAAATATGAAAAGGCCTTGTACACGTTGGTAACGTTTAGCCGAAACTTTTGTGTGCAATGGCGTTGTGAGATAAGTTTCATGGATGTGTTACACGGCGCAATTTACGAAAAATTTACTTTCACGAAAAGTAAAATTGCTTTCTACTCGCGCAACCTAAACTTGTGTCGCGAACAGGTTTCAGGACGAAAGTGTTCCGCGGTGACATTCCTGTAAAACTTGTCTCACAACGCCGTTACAAGCAAGTTTCAGCTAAAAGTTTCAACGTGTAGCAGGGTCTTAATAAAATAAAAGCTTCTCTGAGCATTCTGCAAAGCAAGGCGTACATCCATGATAACTAAATAGCACTAAACACATCTATTTCTTTTGTTTGCAATCAGGTTTCATGGGTGCTATTTTGTACTAATGAGTGAGTACTATTTCACGGATATATGTTTGTGTCAAGATGAATTAATTTCTATCTTAGAATTGCTTATTTTAGACAAGGTTCAGTGTTTCATATCACAAGTTTCATATTCACTGTGTATATCAAACTGAATGAAGACATCATAGGACAGTTATATCATTTCCCAGAATACCCTTCGGTGTTCAGTAGTGTACTTGTACTGTTAAGCAGTACCAAAGTGAAAATAATCTATGTAGTATATGACCCAAGTTTAATCTAGACTTGAGAAAGAAAATTAAAAGCATTTTTTTAGATTGTTAAAGCTTGTTCGCAGATCAATAATAATCAACGAATCATTCTTTGACAATGATAACTCTCCCATTTAATGACGCGTACCCATCTACAGAAGAAAAAAAACAACCTGGGGCTCAACTCGTCTATTACCTCATAAAGGTACCGTTGGAACAATATACCAAAAAAAATAAACCAAATGACTGATCATTGTAAATCGGATAAAATGAAAAAGCTATAAAACTACTTAGTTCACAGGCTTAAGAGCCTTAAGACTAGGAACGGAAAACGGTCGCGACATTAAGTGAAATATTGAAGACGATAACCCTAAAGCGCTTAGCCTCTATTGAAACTAGATTATCATCTTTGGTTCATGAGGTATTTTTATTTAAAGACAAAAATGAAAAAAAAAAAAAAAGAAAAAAAAGGGAGAGAAGCAGCTGTATCATAGCAACATATTGTTTAACGCTGACCAGCAATACCTGAAGATATAACAATGTCATGCAGTTCGTAGTATTTGTTGATCAGGAAATAACTGGGAATCTGTGCGCAGCTAATTCGCTGTCTATTAATGCTAGTTGTCTTTGTATATGACTAGTGTTGCTTGTTGGTTCACTGGTTTTAGTCCTTCGAAAAAAAACACATTTTTTGATATGTTCCAATTAGATCATGGAATGAGAGCAACTTGTTAGCCACTGGCTATTTATGATACTCTAGTATACAATATTCAACTTCATATTACGTTTCCATTTCATCAACGAATCACGCGAACAATAATGCACGTCATTAATGAATTATTCAGAAGAAAACTAATCAATATCAATCCTAGGATCGGACCACAAAACATACGTACAATAGGCTACGTTCGATATCTTAAAATTCAGAATTGATGTGGCGAGGCTTTAGTCGTATGGTACCGGCTTTATGTCTGCCACAAATACGTCGATCGCCAAATACATTTAATAGTATAGGAATAGAATAAAGTAAAAATTTCTCGTTCACTTTGCAGTCAGCGCGTGTGTGTATTTCTAAACAAAACACTCACATCACCCTCTAATCCCTAAATGATTGAGATTGTTACATACCAACTGTCCATTTTTGACATACTCTGTTTGGGCGAGAGGGTATCACGTGAACGTGAACCACTTTTACGAGCTTATTTACAAGCTTATCTTATTGATAATTTACCTCCGTTAACTTTGAATAAACCACATTCTATCCAAGGCCCAATCCCAAAGGTAAAGGTGTGATCGAGAGAGGTCTTGGTATTTGAGACTCGTGAGAACCAAGAAGAGAAGCCAGAGGTGAGACTTATTTTATTGGCGAGAAGAGCTTATTGTTGGGCTCAGGGAAACGTATCCGAAAAGTCCAGGAAATTGATATAGGCGGGCAGATCACAAAACAAAACACCCGAGGGGGATGATAAGCTTTAAAGGGAAATTACGTGATCAACTGCATGTCTCATTATACTATAGTATATATAGCGCTTGATGCTTCCTATGATAGCGGGTACCGCTACGTTTGAGCGATTAAGCAAAATCCTACACAAATAAAGCTCCGACTTTTTTAGGTCGTCACATCGACTTCCATTTTAAAAGAAAAAGATAAACGATGAAAAAATAGACGGTTGAGGCAGAATTTGCATATGATTGCATAACAGTCAGAATGGATCTCCGTCAAAACATTTCAAAAAGTATCATCATTAAGATGTTTAAAACTGAATAGCAAGAACTTTCAAGTTGTTATGTTAAATTCTATTTTAAGTTTGTCAGTGTGTACATATACGATCGATAGTTTTTTATTCCTTGAGATTTAAAAATATTTTGTTTCATATTAGTAAATACCTCCTAAATGCAGAAAACTGAATCATAACCACGACAATACAATCCCAACAAATGAAATAATTCAATAACAGGATGAAGAACTAGCGGTACTGTTAGTATCGGTGTTAATGTTATATCTGAGATGACTCAGGATACTGACCCTCCCATACGTTTTTATGAAAACTGTTTGAAGTCTAGATGTACCTTGGTACAGGCAGACAATAATTAACAATTATTCGCCGAAAGCGAAGTGAAGTATCGGGGAATATTTACCGAGATGCGATTCTTCGATGATCTGTAGATGAATATAACAACATAAAACGTAGCCTGTGATCAATGAGCGCGCCGGATTTATTATATTCACTTTTGTAAAAATACTAAAATATATTATTGATTTATGATACATTTACCAAAAAAACTGAAGAAAAGGAAAGGGGAGAGGCCTGTGAAAAGAAACGAGAAGTAAAAGAGACACGAAGTAAAGAATATCAGTGAAAAAGCAGAAAAAGAATATGCATACAGAGAAAAGAGAAAAGAGAAAAGAGAAAAGAGAAAAGAGAGTTACTTAAAACGTTACTAACAAACTAACTTTATTAGAAGTAGTTTTTCATCTAAATGTTTACGTGACTTGAATTAAGGAACCCACTGTGAGAAAATTTACCAAAACAAAAGCCAACTTTTTAAATGGTATTTAAAAAAACGTTTGTTTCGACTTGACTGCTTCGTTTAAATTGTAAAATTCATGAAAACTTTGTAACTCTTCTTATCGTTGACCAACAATCACTACGAAACTGATGTACGTAAATGTAGCTTAGAATAAAATATGATTTTCAAAATTTTCCAAGATTTTCCCTGCCGAAAATCATATTAAAGCACTCTTACATGTAAAAAGCAATAAACCTTTGTATATTAATTTTCTATTTTTATTTCAAAGGCGTTTTTTCTTCATTTGGTTTCAATGAAGAAGGGACAGACGAATAATTAGATTGTTTTTTGAAACTGAAGTCTTATGAATACAGGTGTAATGTATCTTCTATAATACATGAAACATTCTAAAAGAACAAAGGACGGACAAACACGTTATTAACATTTTATAACATTAAATTCTACTGCAAAAGAAATATATTTAAGTACTGTAAGTTTCGGTCACTTCTTTTTATTCTACATTGAAAATTCTCGCTCACTACAAGGTTCGTGAAGTTGATTGAAAACAGGATATACACGAATAAGTATAAGTTCGAATATGAAAATGAAATTAATAATTTAATACCCTCTCTAGTCTCCTTTCCCCCCTCCATCTTGCTTGTATTGAGGATTCATCAACATTCACTAAGAAATATAGGGCTAAGCATTGTTCATGAAAACTGTTCATTTATACGGAAAAAACGGCGTGAGAATTTGTACATGCAAACAAAGTTTCACTGCTAAAATGACCCTGATTAAAGTTATTATATTGTGTAGATGTAATTGCACCTACCKTTATATATATATTAATTTGTGTCCACTTGTTTTGAGCAGAATCCAATCCTTAAAGCTCTGGATCAAACCCGAACACAGTTCCTATAGATGTAAAACATTAAAGTGAGATCATTTCATTCTCAAACTCCACTTAACGATGCTAGAGACCGAATGTTTGGATAAGATTTTTCTAACGAATTCGCTAAGTCAATAACTCATTTCACGGAGCCTTCAAAATTGTAATTTAAATTACGATCAGTTAAAAACCTCCGGCGGTTTCGTAATCCAGTACTTTTCTAAGTTATGCCTCAAAAGCGATTGTAAATAGATCGTAAAATCGGGATGGTTTTGAAAAATTAGTCCTATAAATAAAGATCAGGAATTAAACGATATTGGCGAATAAACTGAAGTACAAACAAAGTCATTTGATGATGTTATACAAGAAGTAATTATTGCTGTTTATGGCTTAATCACAAATATGTTTTATAGTTTATTTTCATCACAACATTTGTGATGTCGGCACACAAAACCTCGGACAGTTTGCGAAAGTGCTTTTATAAGCTTGGGAAAAAACGAGAATTTGTACAATTAACAGGTAAATGTTAAAACGAAAAATGAAATTGTTATTTTAGCTTTAAAGCTTTTAGTTCTTTTGGTGCTAAGATAATGAAATATAGATTTGATCTGCGAACAAAGCCGGCAAGAAAGCCCTTTGGATGTTCCGCCATATATACGAGATGAAAACCATGGAAACAGCACGCTGAAAACTAGACGGAAAAAAGTCACAACTTGAATTACCGGGAAGCAGTAATTACAAATCTTATAGATAATATAATTTGAATTCAAGCAGTTCTATTTTTTCGTGGAATTCTACATTTAGTCGTAGGACTCACGGACTAAAAGAGAGAAAAAATCCAAGTGTATTCCTAATCCTTCAAGAATAATATATTTACATTTCTTGTGCCTTTAGTGTCCACTTGAATTCAGTGAGCTGCTTTATTCTTGTCGAAAATCAATGAAAGACAATGAAAGACAATGAAAGACCTATTTAACCTCGAGTAGCTCTTGAGGCAGAAATAAGCTTATCAGACCGCGCGGATATCATTTTCATAAGGTACCTCTAGATGAGATTGAGACTTGAGTTCAATTTCCCTTTGAAATTTACCTTAATTGGTCTCAAGATTACGCTATGAAGGATGTGAACTAATATGAAATACTGTAACATTTATTAATATTTATTAATCTATTATAAGACTATTGTAAAGTTTATTCATTTCTACTCTCGCTCAAGTATCTATATAAAATGTGAACAAACGATATGAGAATTAGGTTAAGATCTTAGAGAGCTTTTCGTTTGTTTGCTTGCTTGTTTTGTTTGTTTGTTTGTTTGTATCAAAACATAACATCGAAAGAGCCAATCAAATTTTTTTTACGTCTAGTGCGCCCATTTACGAGTAAAATACATATATGTGGACGTGATCATGAAAAGCGTTTTTCAAGTTTTATCTTTAGCATACTTACAAGGATTTTAACTGTAGTCTAAGGTGTACTAGACTAAGCCTTAAAACTATACTTAAAGGTTAGCACTGAAACGAATCAAAGCGCTAATACACTTGACTTTTGTAAAAAGGATGCGCTTGGAGCAGACAAAAAGTTGGGCGGAAACTGGTAAAGTGAAGACAATAGCGAGTTTTAGATTGAATTTTTTTTCTTCCCGCAAACGGCAAACGTGACCACATTTTCATCGTTTTCCTGTATTTTACCTTTACCTTGCAAGCTTTCATTTCACAAACAAATATTCTTTTGTTTTTCTACTACTTGGATTTTTTTGCAATTCCTTTTCAGTTATTTAAAATAATTTTTCACTGATCATCTTGCGTTACACGTTTGCCGTGAACGGCTATCTAAAACTCTCTAATAAGTAATATTTTCCTAAAAGGATAACTTATTTATAGTTCAATAACGGGCAGTAACCAAAAATAATTTTTACTGATCTCAAAATAGTTGTGTTCAGTTTCTAAATTGACTGTCTAAAATTTTAACATTTACGTCTTTTTTTGAGTACGAAGACTGAAGCCCAAGCTGCGCATTTGTTATATTTTTATCGAAAAAGATCAGGAGATAAAAAATCTCTACATTTACCGGCCATTTTGATTCTAGATTTCTACCATACATCATGCATAGCGCACATCCCAATTCAAAATGATCAGAATGGAATTAGTTGTAGGTGATACCTTATTATCACTTATTTTTGCGAGACTTAATTTTCGCGATTTTCGCGATTTAAAAAATTTGGCGAAATTTAAGTAAGCGAAAAAAAGGTGCCGCGAAAGTTAAAGACGCGAAATTTATTGACCTATATAAAAACCTTTATTTAAGTTTTCCGTCTGCTAGGAGTATACATACGAGTAGGAGAGCTCAAATTTCAGTTCAACGCATGTCCTTATTCCTATTGAGGCGTTTCTTATCTAAAAGCTGATTGGCAGCGCCATCGAGTTAAATAGTGCCTCGCTTGCTAACATAAGTGTACTTTTAAAAGATTTTATGCTGCTGACATTGTTGAACATTTTAGCCAGTTGCTTGTTGGAAGATTAAAAAAACGAGAACCAGTGTACTTGATTCGCAAAAATTAATTACCTTGAAAAACGGTGATTCGTCAAAATCGCGAAATTTAAGTCCCGCGAAATATTTCTATTCCAAATTCGCGATATGTAAGTCGCACAAAAAAAGGATAATGAGTTTCTCTTACTTTTCATTCTGAATAAATTATACATAGGAAAGACTCGCTGCGTTTCTTTCGAAATTGTCCGCCTGCATGTCGTGGCGCAATCACGATTTCAATAGACATCATATCCAATACAATTATGAAAATGAATAGACTTTCTAACAGACCAATCTTGTTAGCCATGGCATGCTTTCTTATTTTAATATTTCTTACTAAAATTCAAATAAGAAGCTGAAGAGTAGTTTATTAGTTAGCAGGCTAATTTGAAGGATCTCTCTGACAATAGTTAATAGAGCGGAAGGGTTTGGAAACCTATTGTTCTATGATTTTGCTCGACTGAGAAAAGTTGTTTCGTTTGTTCTGTAGTATTAGGGAATATAGAAGTTTTTCCCTAAAAAACGTTCTAAAATAGTTATAATTTGTCAATTCAATTTATTGCTATATAATTAAGATTAATTGCTTATTGAAAAGGAAACCGTTCTTTTTCATCCTTCCTTATTTATCATCTAGTATAACTTAACTCGGTATCTGTGCGGAAATTTTTATCCTCATAGTTTGTGGTAAGCGAAGGAAAAATGTTTAATTTCAAAATGTTCACACATAAAAATGATAAGGAAATCAGAATATTTTCAGCCATACTTGCTTTGGTTCATTGTGCAAGGTCAGCACTGGCACGTGATGGTGCGGTTCAACCTCAGACGCGAAACAATAGGCCGGTCCTCTGATGCTTGCCGGGTTTTACAACCAGTCCCCTCTATTAACTATGATCTGACAAAAAAAACACTAAGGTGGCTATTGTTACGATTAAATGACTCAAGTTCCCGTAGGGTGATTTTTGTCATTAATTGTACATGCCTCTCAGTAAAACCTATATAAACTTTGCACTGAAGACGGGAAAAGATGCACCGCGAGCACCGTCAACCAGCCTTCTCCCATCCACTACGAACATCAGCCCAAATTATAGTCTCACTTCTTTGAACAACAAACTTCTGTTTTTACAACCACAAAGGTCTGGAAAATCCCAATCTGTCTGATTTCAATTTTACAATTTTACAATTTTTACAAGATTAACATTGCATCGCTTATGGTCAAGATACTAATCAACGTGGAAGTCGTATGATGACATCCCACATAAATCTTCCCCCTAAAAAATTCCGCCTTCTGTTATTCTATACGCTATTCACCAAAATTGTTTAGAAAGAAAACTTCAGCAATAACCATGTAATGTGTAAGTGCAGTATGTTATACATTATCCTCATTAAAAATCATAAACGGTATACAAACACAAATACAGAGGTTTTTAAAATGGACATGCATTTTAGACCATTCGGAAGGACACTGGCGCTAAAAGACAGCAAGAAATCTTAAGTCAATTAGCCATACGCATAAGTCACGGCCATCAAAAAAATTTCGATACCTTAAGAGTTATGCTGGAAATCATTGGACTAAACAAAGAGAACATTCAAAAATATCCGAATAAGAACAGTTTCACCTACCTTACTATAGATTTGTTAAGAGCAGCATGTTTCAAGAATGTTGCTTGTTAATCGGCTGTACTCCCTTTTAAAGTTCCCTTGGACGGCGGTAATCCGTAAAGTACTTGGTATAATGGAACAGTGATTTAAACTCCTAGATAATTGGCTTAAAGATGTAGCCAGGGAGTCTGCTTATCACTATAAGCCTTACACACAAAAGCCTCATGTTTAAGAAACTGTTTCTGAGAACATCAGACAGGCTTGATAGTATGAGAGCGGAAGTACTATTGACATGTGACTGGTCTTAAAACATAGTATAGCCCTCGATGCAAATGATCGAAAAGATGGATTCCTCTAAGACTGCGCTTTATATTGAATGTTCTTGTACCTACATTCTGGTGGGATTAGATCGAGACGAGAATCATACGATCGAGTTGTGTTTCTTATGCCTTTAAATGATAATGCACAAAAATACAATAATAAATAAATAAATAAATA